AGCGATTATCGGGGTATAATTCACGAAGAAACCGAGTTGGGACTTACGAGCGAAGATTTTGGTCAATATGGTCACAATAACCAGCCGTCTCATCACGTCTTGGGTATCGCTGTCGCCGCTCAGTGTTTCCACGTCGCTGATAAGTACATGGAAAAAGTTCTGACGGAGCTATACACTCCTGATGGATGGTCCGGTGATGAAGACAACGGTGAGATGGCGGCTTGGTATATGCTTAACTCTTTGGGTTTCTACATAATTGATTTTGCCAAGGACGAATTACTGTTGTTCGCTCCCTTGGTAAAGGGAAACTACACAATATCATTGCTAGGCGAGAAGACAGCAGTTCGGGTTGAGAACGTCGATCTAAGCGGTGGGCACGCGAGTAGCCGTCCGTATGTGTGTGAAGTACGTTGGTACCCGTTGTGTGGCAATATCAATGCTGCTGAGCTCGAGCTGGATTCGGCCAGATCTGTTCGTGGGTTGACGAGAATACCTGAGCCTGTTGATTATGTTGTCCTTGAAACTCGTCGACTGGCTCGTGCTGACTTCGTTAAAGGTGGATGTTTGGTCTATTTCACTAGTGCATCACGTTGTTGAAGAGTAGATAAGCATAAGCCAATAGTATTAGATACTTATAAGTCTGGCTATTTCACCCATCCCTGTTAGAGGCCATTGCGGACTATTCGGCGCCTAGTTGTACTAACTCTGCTGGTAGCAGAGTCTGTAGTACAGAGTCTAACTCATTTTGAGTCTGATATGACATAGGCTTCAGTTTATCCTGCTCATCAATGACTGTACTAAGAAAGCATTTTGATCGTATAGTCTCTACATGGGTTTTCCCCTGTCAATGGAGATCCAAGTCGATAGACAAGCCTGCATGCGATGCATCGATTCTCAATAATATTGAGTCAATACTGATTTCGGGAATAGTCCCCGAAGTCGTGTTCAATAAACAAGATTTTGAAAGTTGAAAATCGATCCCGGAAGCGCTTTCAGAATCCATCCCGCCTTGCGTTCAGTAGGCACGATTGTCAAAATAGATTTCAGCAAGGATTCCAGACTCGACAAATGAAATACGGGAGAAGTGGGGTTCCCCGGGATGGAACCTGAGGCCACCGGGTGGCTGCCCGGCACTGAAAATGCACTTTCAAATTCTACTCGCGGAATTTAAAAAAATATGAATTCTGAGATATACCTCGACAAAGATTCGAATATGAGACACTCGGATAATACTCCACTAACTTACCCTACTGAATTAGATTGACTACTTATTGTACTAGTCACTGTTGGGCGGGCCGAACTGTGAACGAGTACCAGTACTTGTCACTGACAAGTTGTCAGCAGGCTGTTAAACAGCCGTTGTTTAACTAGTAGTTAATAACTACTGACCAGTTAGTAAGTGGTACTTGGTTGCTGGAACTCAGTATCTGTCTCAAGGTCCTGCTTGGCAAGCTTTGCTATTCTTCAGTACTGCGGTCCTCATTCGGCCACCTGCACTCCTCCGGACCCGATATATTTCCACATATCAAATCCCGGGATCGAACCTCCGACCTCTACTAGACGTTTACTAGACGTCTACCTCCGACGTTTGCTAGGCCAACACGCAAGCGGTTTGCGGCAAACCCTCTCGAGCCTGTTTGGAAACAGACGTCACATCCCTGCTGTGACAGCAGTGCTGTCAGCAGGCTGCTGATATTATATCAGCATATCAGTGATATATCCTCCTTTCTTGCTGTACCGTCTCTCACAACCAGATCCCCAAGAAGAGCTGTTTCTTCTGAACTCCAGACATTTCTGGCTCATAGCAGATTTCTAAGGAAAAGTGCAAAAAACTAAGGAAAAGTACATACAGTTGAGGAAAAGAACAGAAAACTAAGGAAAACCCTCGTACTAACCGAACTAACGCAATTATTACCTGTCGTGAATTAGTTTCCCGCATGAGCTCTGACCCGGCGGCGGCCCCCCTTCCAACTACCCGCTATCGCTGGATCCCCCTCCGTCAACGTCACTGTGAGTGAGTCACTGGCAGTGCCAGTGACTCACTGCCAGTGAAATGAGTATCAACGAACACCCGAGACCCGACAGGGATCCAGCAATCGGAGCTCGGAGTGAATAGTTCGGGTCTACTGCTAGGAAATGAGTGGAAACTCCAGTTCTTTGAACTCCCGACAAAGAACTGCAAGTGAAGCGGAGAAAAGGACACCCGAAACCCGATGGGGCAACCAGAAACTCGTACTGCGATCCAAGGCCAAACTGTAACACAAGGCCAAGCTTAGACCCTTCGCCAAGTCCAAATGATAACTAAGAGAACAAAGAACTGCGAATGGAGTGGAGAAAGAGACACCCGAAACCCCACCCGAAACCCGATGGGGCAACCAGAAACCCGAACTGTTCTCTGAAGTAGCTTATCCACTACATCTGGAGACCCAATGGTGATAGTAACAGGATGGCCTCCTATCGGTGCCCGTTTCCGGGAGACAACCTCACTCGAGGTTGGCCTCCACAGACGGTAGAAGGAGCCATTAACCTGTGGGTCCATAGGTTGCACTTTGAACTTGGGCTCGTCGTGGTTGATGGCCATAACTCTCCCAATTCCAGCGGCATCTTCTTGCTTATAGAGGATATGGTCACCGATGGCCAGTGTGGAGATCCTTGCTTGTGGGAGCGACGGTAGGGTCAAAGCCGTCTCTCTCCCTACGATAGAGACCTTGTCGAGTGACCAAGTAGAACCGTTGGCAATAACCCCTCAATTTCAATTCAATTCAATTCAATTCAAACAGTTAATTAACGAGTTACGTGCTACATCTGAGCGTATCACTCATCAGTATCAATCGTATACGAGACCTCCTTATCACGAAGCAGCTTACTGACAGCAGAGTTACGTTTAAGCAGGACGCTAGCAATAGTTGAGAGTAGATAGGACGCTCTTGGAGAAGTGAAGGCATCATAGACCTGCTGGGTTGACATGTTAGGGCCTGCTGGGCAGGAAAGTAGTAGATGGTCTACAGAATCAGTAGATCTACCGCAGAGAGAGCAACAATGGCAACGCTTGAACGAAAGCGTTGGCAATAACCCCTCTAGCTGCACCCAGATCGTCGTAGAGGACTTGACGTACCTTGGCTTGTTGATTTCCTTCTAGCCATACCATATCCCCCACCTTGAGCTGCTCTTTGGCTCGACGATCTCTTTGCTGGACCAATGTGGGATTGCATTTGTAGAGCTCGTTTTCCTTCGCTCGAGCATCCTTAGTTAAGTTGTATCTTGTAGCGAGCGTAGAGGCAGTAGTCTGTATGGCTTGTACCAAGGCTAGAGATGATGACCTATCAACCTCCCTCGCCGGGTCCTCGTTGCCGTACTTAGCCATTGCCGGTAAGGGGGCGACCATCCCAAAGACTCTCGCGTAGACAGAGAACCCATCACGGTTAGGCACTTGGTTAATTATCATCTCGGCGTGGGATAGAAGCAAGAGTATATCCGAATCCGTCATAACCCCGCAGGTTTCGTAGTGGACATTGATGACTTGCTGCAAAACTCTATGGCGTTGCTCAATCATGGAGTTGCCTTCTGGGTGGCCGGTCATCGCCAAGTGTAGTGCGGTTCCTGACATGGCTAGTAGCTCCTTCATCAAGACGTTGTTGAAAGCCTTGCCTCTGTCACAGTAGAGATGTGTAGGGAAGCCATACTTCATGAACCATTGGATATACAAGCCGAGGGCCGTGGACATAGCGGATAAGTCTTGTTGCGGGATGAAGATAGTCCATCCCGAGTAAGCGCAGGTGACAGATAGAGCATACTTACACGAGATACCTTCTGAGGTGGGTACATTCTTATGGTCAATAGATATGGTTGTGAAGCGAGAATTGCCAACAGTCACACCGCGATATGGTAGATGCTTCGAAGGATAAAGCCGTGAGCACAAGTCACAGTCATTTATGTGCGCTAGAAGGTCGCTTCCCATACCAGGCCACCAGGCAATAGCTTGGAGAACGCGTAGCACTCTGTCATAGGGTACGTGAATTTTGCAATCGTGGGCATAGAGCAGCAGACCTTGGCGAGCAGACTGTAGTTGTTGTTGAGGATCGTACGCCGTAACCAGCCTTAACTCGTTAACAAATACTGCGGGGCCAGGTATCACCAGCACCCATGGGAGTTTCCGCAAGTCTTGCTCCCTGTTGGTACTCTGTGTAAAGAGGCCCATAGCGCCATTCTCCTTGCAGCTCAGAGACGTGATAAACTTGCGAGCTTCAATCCATGCCACTGCCTTGGCATTCTCCACGCTGGTGATGTCCGAGTAGGTCTCTGAGTCCAGCAATACATTAGCTGCGGCCCAGACTGCCTTGAGTCGGACTGACAGATACATGGTTTCATCAACCGCATAGGAATCCGCGACGATCTCGGCCTGGGACGGTGTCATAGCCAGGTGTGAAAGTTCATAGTCATAGATAGCGCCAGTGTAGATGTGATCGACAGTATTGTCGCCGTCCTCCTCTTGTGCTTCTCCATAAGTAGGCAAATAGATTGGCATTGTGGGAGCCTCGTTCGCCATTTCATCGACAGGGGTCACGTGGCTTTGTTCAAGACGTTCTGCACATCTACTGAAGAGGTCGGATAGGACGTTACATACTCCTGGAACATGTGCCATCCTGATGTTGATGTAGTCGAACTCGGACATCTCCATTTGCCATGCCCGAAATCGGCGGGCTTTTATAGCAGTCTTACCGGAGAACAGATCCTCGTCATTGTTGTTGATGAACTTTGCCAGTGCCACTGTATAGTCGCTAAATAGCACCACCGATGGTTCATCGCCACTTCGTGGCAGTCGACTAACACTGATGATTAATGCTCTCCACTTCGCGAAGGCTTGAAAAATTGCATAGCTCTCCTTTTCAAATACATGCCATTGTTGTTGGCTTTGATCAACTAGGGCGCTGTGGGCACTGATCAGGTACGCCAATCCTCCAACTCGCAGGTCAGATATCGAAATCTCCCTTGCCGGTTTACGAACATACCATAAGTGAGCTCCAATACCGATCTGGGTGGCGTCCGTAGTAATACATAAGGAAGCCTCAGCATTGTCCATGTTGAGGATGTCTTCATAGGCTAAGTAGGCCCTCGGAGCATTGTCAAGGTGATACAAGAGGCTCTGTTGGGCTGCGATACACTCGTCCGTCCACTTGAAGGGTGATGTATTGACCGTCTCGTGGAGGGGAGCAGGGTGGCTGAAGTAAGGTGCCGCCAGACCGTGAAATATTTCACCTGAGATATTACTGAATTTTTCAGAAATTTTCTGAAAAATTTGAAATATTTCTCAATTTTTTCCAAAACTGCGTTTTGGGTGACATTCAATCATCTTTATGAGCTTCATGTATGACGGCAACAGTACACGAGACCTTGAGAGCACAAGGATCATCATAATAGCGCATAGATCATATTATGATCATCGCAGTATGCATGTATTTTCTCAAGGATTTCACAAAATCTGGGAATGTCGACTGGTAATTGACGGTGAAAATCTTTTATCAGCGAGGAACTGCAAGACCGTGTTTAATCGAGACCCCTTCTACTTACGTAGCTAAGGTAGGTAAGTAGAAGGGGTTTTCGAGTTCTTTACCGTTTAAAGGTAGGCTACCTTCAAACGGTAAAGAACTCGAGAACCTAAGATAAGATAGTCTCACTCAAGGATGAGAACCGGTTAGTTTACTGAGTAAACTTTACTCAAGCCCCTCGGACTCGCCCTCAATTTGGGAACATTTATGATCTAACGTTAGTTTTTTCGAGCAAGGTGAGCAAGGGCGTCAGTTCGTTCCACTAACCCACGTCCTCAAGGACTTATTTGAGATTGCGGTGAGGCCCAATCAGTTTGCCTTATCCCGTCCCTAACTCGCGGAAAAGCGGATAAGTACATCATAATGCTCCGCCGAAGTAGATAATCGTGCCACAAACCCCGTGAGCACGATCCACGGTTAATGAAGTTCCAAAGCATTCTTCTCACTTTGTGTTTAACTTGATTTTGGAGAAAAATACGCACAACTTCTGTTCTTCGCAGTAAGTTTCCCAAACGTTGCTTAGTTCAGAACCAATACTGTAGCTCTGGCTTGATCTCATTTCGAGATTAGTCTCCTCACACTCGAGAGTCTGGGAGTCTCAAGTTGAGACTGAGAGACTTCTGAAACGTTCTTTGAGTTTTCAAGTTTGTGAGGTTAGACTCTTAATCTTAAAATTCGCCAGATTTACGAATCTGAAGGGGTTGGCGATGCCAATCTTTATGGGCTAGTGGAGATCTCCTAGTGGAAGCCGCCCGGACGGTTTTCACGCATCATCAAACATCCCGTAACATAAAAGCGAGTTTGGGCCCCATTTCGAAGCTCAAAATTCGAGCTTTTCAATGATGAACTGGAGTTGGTGTTTGGGATGAGCTCTTGTGATCCAATCATTTGATTCAAATGTAGTACGATACAAGCCCATGTCATGCCTATCGCCAACCGCCCGAGACGGAGAAGTTTTTCAGGGATGCCGTCTTGAGATGGAGCACCCGCCGACTTCTCGAGAAGGAGGGCGCTGTCGACAATGGAGACGAAGATCGTTGAAACTCCATTACACTGAATTTCAGTATTCCATAACCGAAAGTTTGCACACTTTGTCTGAGGCTATTTTGTTCTTCATAAAAATCTTATGATGAGATCAATACCTGCGGATGGGTTGACTATATCACCGCCAGAAGAGACCTCGGTCTGGTTGCCAACGCACTCTTGAGCTTCTTGGTATTATCTTCGGATAGGGACCAACCTCTGGACGATAACGTGAGACCAAGACAGTCCAATGACTGGCAAACTGTTGTTGGATCTTTGTCCGATATGGGCTTCTTTAGGGCGCGGAGGGCGCACAACAGGATTCGTCGGCGGCCTTCTGCTTGTGCCTTGGTCCTGCCGTGCCCGACTGCATCGTCTAGATAGATGGTGAACCACTTTCTCCAGTATCCCTTTATGGGATACAAATGGTCGAGCTGCACCTTGAGGAAGAACGGGAAATACAATGCAGATAAGTTAAGACCTTGTGGTAGACACAGCCACTGGATATAGGTATCCCCCAATCGGCACGTAGTTAGGGCAACCACCTCGTCAGCCAACGGGACCGTGTAAGAGGCATTCAATGCCTGGCATTGCTGATGTCAACCTTGAAGAACCATTGAGACCCTGACGGGATAGTATGGATGTTGTCCCGCAGGTCGTCAGACTGGCGACGTCAGTCGACCGGGTCCAGTGATCGGTGAGCTCATTCCCAATGACAGCGTTAAGTGCGGTATAGTCACAGAGAAGCCGTACAACGGGACTACCATCATCATCAGTGCGCCCCTTATCTTTGGCAAAGCCTGGTGACACAATCGCGTTGGGACCAACCTCGGACTCCTGGACAATGCGGATGACTCCTTGGGCAGATAATTTACCAAGCTCCTTCTGCACTGACTCCTTCAGCCGGGCAGGGATCGGGTACTTCCTCGTCACAGATGGAGCACTCTCTTTGATGGAGAAAGATAGCTTGGCCGTTGGTAGATCTTGACACCTTTGTACATGCCATTGGTAGAGCTCCTCATCCGATAGATTCACAAGGTTTTCCTCGAGATCAGAGCTCGGTGCAGCAGCAACTGGCGGTACTGTCGGGGGTGATGATGACAGCTGGACTTTCACTCCTCCCATACACTTGATGCTCATCACGTAGTCGTCCAGGTCGATGGACGCTTTCATACGAGACAGTGTAGATGCACCCAGAAGGATGTGGGGATACGTGAAGTTAGTTACAACATAACACCAGATCATCGCGAGCTTGGGTCCATGATTAGTTTGAAATACCACGGGGAGGTTGGCCTCTTGCGAGATGGTGAATAGGCTGCCACACGCCGCTCGACATGTCCTCTTCCTCACTTCTCTAGTTTCTAGGGATGCGCCATGACTAGAGAGAGTTGACACCACATTTCGATCCACCATAGTAACTTCAGAGAAGGAGTCGATGCCCATGACAACTTTGCATCCTCCCGCTTTCAGCAACCAAACGGAGGCACACGGCACATGGAGTTTGTCCTCAACCGACATATTGCTTCCAGAGTGCAAGACCATGAACTGAGGCACCGCAGTTTCGGGTTGTGGAACGGCAGAGCTTTGCGCCGCAGAGATAGTGCGAGAAGCAGCATTCCTAGAGGTATCAGTAACCTTGTCTTTGTGGCCGTCCATAATTTTCCTAGAGGGATTAGAGTAACATAGGTCAGGCGGATG